ATTTGCTGAAGGTTACAATGAGCCCATCACAGAGTCAAACGAAGGGCTTGGGGAAGTTCCTGGACCACAGCTATCGGTGGGAATTTTGTCACAAACTTCAGCTGGGTTGTAATTTCATCCTGGACTTTTGGAGTGGATTTAGCATTTTCCCCTGAAGTTTCACAATTACAAAGTTGGTGTTCAGATGATCATCTGTTGCTGTTTGTAAAAGGTTTTAGATAAGCCAGAGCTCATATTACACAATAATCAGCTAATCCATATTAGGTTACTGGGGTAGCTATAATAATTATGTCAGGCTATGAAGATACGCTGAAGATCCCTACATGGCAGTAACTGATTATTTCATCCATAGTAGACTAGCCTTGTTCTCTGTCTCGAGGAGGAGACAATGTCTTTTCTGTGGCTTGACTTTAGTCTGAACACACAAAAAGAATTTAAGGAGAGGTTACCCAACCTGGGCTGTGTTTTTGGACGGCCCCTCTCCCTGGCTGGGCGAGCAGCTTTAGCTGTCCTCTCACTCTCTGTTAGAGCTATTTTTATCACACTGGAATTGTGGGCATGTGAATTTGTGCTCTGACCAAAACAGCGTGTCAATCAACACGTTTCTGTGGTATGATGCACACGCTTGTTATTTTGCTATTACTTATGCATATATTTCCTTTTCTGTCCTTTAAGCAAGCAAATAAACAGTCTCTAAAGGAAGTACTTGATTTTCAAGAGTGAGGTTTTTCTCAGGGTGTCGTTTTATTAGTGAAATGACTTACATTAACAAATCAGTGGAAGAAGTGGTAATGTGAACCAGCATATTCAATTTCACTTTAGCAATCTGTATTCCAGAAGGAAATCCTGGGAAGCAATCACTGACAATGGGACCTCAATTTAAATTACAAAATAGTCAGTATGCTGAATGCATATAGAGCATGTGAGAGATTAAATGGAAGTGTTCATTTGTCTTCATAAGGTAAATGAGACAATAAAAACGTGCTCTACAAGTAAGGACTGTAGAAGCTGTGGTAATGAAAACAATAATTAATATAATTTAAGTTGCTATCCCCAGGGCAGTTTTAAATTGATGGTATTAATTATGCAACAAACCTGTTTGTAAATTAATGTCATAGGAAGCCCTGGAAGTCATCTAGAATAGGTTTCTCCTTTTGAAGCTATTCGGCAATCTATTATGCAGCAGCCTATAGACCCCAATGGATATTCAAAGGTTATTTATATTAAACTCTATCATTTATATTCTTCAAAGAACTAAGTCGCATGAAAGCATGCCATTAAAAGCAATAAATTATTCCATTGTGTGTAAAGTTGATTATATAATATAAACTAGAATTCATTAGTATTAACTTGAATAGATGTCTCGTAAGGTATTTTTCTGCCACTGTAACTATTGATTCAAATAAATTACAGCAGCAGGGAATGTGTGGCATTGAATTCCTTCTGTTGCTATTATCGGGTCTAGAGAAAAGCTTATAAACAGCAAGAAAGTTTCATATATATATTTATATATATTTGAATTTTAAGGTTATTTTGCTGAGATTTACCTCTACATGTCAGAGTGGCTTTTAATAGATGTAATTAAATGCTGAAATTCAACCCTGTTCATTTCTTTCAGTTCTTCAAGGATAGAAACATCAGCCAGAGGGATATAGTAAATTAGATGAGTGTATGAAAAAAGGTGCAAAAATTCTTTCTCTGTCTTAAAAAAAAAAAAGGAATAGTAGGCAAGGGTTCCTTTTGCTTCACATCATCCAATTAAAATCTAAATTTTAAAATGTCAAAGTATTTTTACTTATACTTTGAAATCGGTAAAATGAAAACAACCACTTAAAAGATATTTTTAAGGAAGAGTTTCTTCTTTTTTGTTTACTTTGGTGGAAACATTTGGGTTTTCTGACCACTCTTTTCATATTTGGTCATTGTCTAGATTTCTGTGATGCAGCCTAGATTGCATGACCAGTTTTACCTGCTAGAAGTTCCTGTTTCCCACTCACTATAAGTGAACCTGTGGAGCACATTCCTCCGCACTGCCTCACACAGCATCTGACAACTTAAAACTTTCTGAAATGCAGTAATTCTGTTTGCTGGTTTATACTTTTTAAACTCCAGGAAAAGTAAAATACGCCAGGGCAATATAAATAATATCATGCTTTAATGCCATCTTCCACCTGAAAAAATATTCTAGCTTGCATATCTTTATATGTGTTTTCCAGTCTTAGTTTTAGCTTGCAAGCAATTTTGATGGTTATTTCCACAATGTATTTAGGCCAAGTACAGCAAGGTTTTCTTCATATATTCTTTAATTTTTCTGCCAAAGCTGTAGAATTGGAAGTGCGGGGTAAGACACAGTACAGAATAAGGTGTTGGCAAGACGTCCCCATTTCTATGGAATGGTTTGGAGCCTCATAACTCAGCTTTTTGTTTGTATTTCCTTGTTACAGATATGCAGATAAATTACTAGGAGTTTAGCAATGTTAGCACATTTGATTGGAACTTTCTATTAATATGTTTGGG